GACCCATATCCTAGCCCCATCCACCCGCCTTACCCAGAACCTGGGCAAGAGGAGGTGGCTGGTGTCATTTGGGAATTCCATGGAATTGAACCAGTGGCTTCTCTGCTGGTTTCCCATAAACTGGGGTAAAAAGTTCTTCCCCTGACCTGGCTGGTGTGGCTCAGTGGATTGAGCACCTGTGAAGCAAAGGGTCACTGGTTTGATTCCCAGTCAGGGCACATGCCTGGGTTGTAGGCCACGCCCCAGTAGGGGGTGCACAAGAAGCAACCGCACATTGAATGTTTCTCTCCTCATTTTCCCTCCCTTCCCCTCCCTCTAAAAAGAAACGAACAAAAACAGAAGTTCTTTTCCTAATCCAGGTTACCTCTCTGACCTATATACCAGCTTTAAGGATTCTCACCAGAGCATTCATGATGCAAGGCATTGGTAGGTAGCCTGATCTTTTCCTTTATTCATCACCCCTATCTAGTTCTAGAACATTTTTATCACCACAAAAGGAAATCTTGTAGCCATTAGCAGTTATTGTCCATTCTCCCAATGCCCAATCCCTGGCAACCACCATTTTACTTTCTAACCATTCACCAGAGTAATTAATAGTTGGGCTAATAAAACCCAACTATTCCAGTCACTGAGGAGGACCCATTAATTCAATAAAGTGAAAGTCTTGCTTGTTTGAGATCTCTGGGTATTAACACTTTGATACTAAGCCAAATTTAATTTCAGGTCATAATATCCCTATTGGTTTGCCTTGTTTAACTTGAACATACCATAGTATCTGGGTCTATCATTAATTTGTGAAACAGAATTACTATGCCTGCCTACCATCCATGTAGTGCTAATCACTCCTTTACCTCATTTTTCTTCCACTTTATAGAATCCATAAATGCAACAGATTCAAGTTATACTTACTCAAAGATTAGAGACACACTAATCAATTTTCAGTTCCTACTATAAAATAAGGTTTTGCCTCCTATCTAGAGAGTGTCTTTGCCATTCTTCTGTTGTTTCTTTCATAAGTTCATGTTAAACTATTGACTTATTAAAGCCAACTGTCTACTTGAACTTTTGACATCTGGCCCATTTCATGCACTTGGTAGATGCTGGAAAATAAGTTAAACATCCAAGAAGCTAAATGGCTCCAAGTGACACTTCTGAAATGGTTTTTGTAGAAATGAAGACTTTTTGGTTCAAACTGTCATTTTTCTTTTGCATCTCTAAATGATAAAAACTACCTTATCTACTTTACATTTATGTTTTGTGACATCATAAAATCACTAAGATAAACTTTAAAAGGAAATTACTAATACAATTTTCTTTGATGTTAGAAACACATTACACACACGGTCCAATAAGTCAAAATCTGCCCAAGGTCCAGGATATCAGTATTTTCTAACAGCTCCCCACACGATTCTAGTTTCTACTGCTGGGATAATCCCCATCCCACGCCCCCAAAGCCTGTTTTCTAACTGTAGAGAATCACTGCTAAATAGATCTGCGCCACACAGGCATTATCAGCCATGTCCTTATCTTCCCCTAGTGTCCTAAGAAAAAGGTATTTCAAATAAAATCCATCCCCAAATCATCCTAATAACCTAAGTTTCACAATCATGTGTTTCCAAATCAGGAACTGCCACTAATTCAATGCTTCTGCTTAATACAATTAACAGTTCTATATGATTTACATAAAAGGATTTAAGTTATACAATAGAATTTGAGTACACAGAAGTTTTCTGCTCTTGAAAAAAGCCATTAACAAATTTACAGAGAATATATTCAGTATTGAAAAGGGTCCAGAAATATTTCACCTGTTTAAACTTTATAGCAGCATTTAGGAGAAAATAAGATGGGTCACAGACCTAAGACTGGCAAAACGGTGTTTTTCAGGTTTAAAAAAACAGGGAGGGCCTCCTGTCAAACAATTCTCAATGATCTTTCATTTGATTATTGTTTGTATATGAGGACAGCTGGTAAAAGGTAAGATTTAGGCAATCGTAGACTTTCAAAAAATATATACCCTAGTTATGGTTTGTAACTGAAAAGAGAAGTCTGAAGACAAAAGGTCTACTCAGCATGAAATGATCAAGCTAGCCTTTGTCACGGTGGTTCCTGTATGCTAAATTAGAGCGCCTTTAATTCTACCTCTTCAGAGTATCACTTTTTTTCTCTGCCAGCTAAGTTTCTCTCAAACAGCAAAATGGCTATAGCAGCCACAGGCTTACCTCACACGAGAGACCACACTTCTTTGGGAGAGTATCTCCTTCCCTTCCTCAAAAAATCCCATGATTCACTGTCTTTGGATCAACCTAGGTTTACCTGTTCAACCCAGAACCAATGAATGACCTTGTTGAAAAGCAATGGTTCCCAACCCAGATAACCTGACACCCTTTTATTATGCTGAAATAAAATCCCTAGATAAGTATAATACCAACCTACTTACACACACACAGGCAATTTGAAAAAGTAAAAATAAAACTCTCTCTTAACATAAAGGAGAAATAAAACTTGAAATAAAATGCATATCATGATACATAAATGCTCAGGAATGGCCACACCATTAAGCATAATAAATGAATGTGACCGCTACAAACTAAAACTGACCCTTGATGTGTTGTAATGTCAACTCAGATACACTTTGGTGATGTGATTTTCCAAAATGGTGTATAACTCCTGGAAATATTCTAAACAAGAGTCATCTGTACTTGCTTTACAAGGTAGCTGCATTCCTAGAAAATTCAGTGTACTGTACACAAAAATACTTCCGTGTTTACGCACACAAAATAGAGTTACATTCTAGGATATGATAACCACTGACGGGATATTGGAAAGTCATGTAGGACACAGGACAAGTTTTCCTGCTCCCTGCCCCTCAAATATTTGTAGTATCCTCCAAACTGTGACAAAAGCACCCCTACAAACTGTCCCCCCCAAGGGGGTGGTACGACACCGAGAGCCTGGCTCCCTCAGACCTTAACTCCTCTACAAAATGGGGGAGGGTAGGATGGAGGGTGGCGAGGCAACAACAGCCACCACTTCTAACCTCCTAATTCATAAATTAAAAGAGAGAATTTCAAGCGTTCCTCCAGATAAAGGGCTTCCTTTTGAAGAAGCTTTTACTAGTAAAGCAAAGTCCACTGTACCTGTTCAAATTCGTGTTAAAATTGAGATGGCGAGGAAGGTGCTTGGCTGAATTAAAAGATACCAGGTTTTTGGTTGGGTTTTTTTTTTAAAGATTTTAATCATTTATCTTTAGAGAGAGGGGAAGGGAGGGAGAAAGAGAGGGAAGGAAACATTGACGTATGAGAGATACATCAGTTGGTTGCCTCTTGCACGCCCCGCACTGCGTATTGGCCCATAACCCAAGCACGTGCCCTGACTGGGAATCGAACCAGTAACATTTCGGTTCGCAGGCTGGCACTCGATCCACTGAACACCACCAACCTGGAAAGATACCAGGATTTAATTAACATTTGAACCCATTTGGTGGAAATGCTAGGTTTTAGGAAAATACAATGACCTTTAAAAGGCAGCTTACATTCCGTAACTCAGTCATGCACATTTATTATTAAATATTTAATTGGATTTGGATATGGAATGGAATTTCAGTATCAAAAAAAAAACAAAACACTCAAAGCTGTTATTTCTTTATATGTATAAGATCTGTTCTTTCATGTTTTCCTAAAAGCAGAAAGACAGCACAGGAAAAAAACACTATCATTAAGGCTAGGAGGGAGTGCTGCCAAAGCCAACTCGATTAACAGCGACAATGCCCAAGGAAACCGTCAAAGGAATCACTGACAGCAGCAGCGCAGGGCAGACACACCAGCGCACAGACTACCAAGGCCCGACTTCCCACCTAGTTCCCACCTGAAGAATTTACTTGTCCTTTGGTGGGGAGGACAGAACACTATGACAGAGTTCATACCTAAAAGTCAATACCACTTAAGGCAAATCTAAATTAAACAGGCTATGCCACTACAGGCTGTTTCCTAAAATCTCAGGCACAAAATACTCTCGAACACTGGTATCTATGTTCGCTATCAGAGGGGAAGGAAAAGAGATGGTTTCACAAAAACTTACAAGTTACCTTTGAAAATTAAGATTTCAAATTTGCAACGATATATTTAGAGTATTATAAGAAAAATATAGGGAAGGAAAAAAGGTTTATTGTAAAGTTGGTAAACTTAGGTATTAAATTGGCAATGAATGAGGAACATACACAGCCCAGTATCATATACGTAACAGTTCATAGCCACATTACCCTGGCATGGCTTACTGGATTCCTCAGTAAGGGTCTTAAGTGCTTCTAGATCAGCGATTTCCAACTGGTGTGCTGCGAGAGTTTTTAAAACATGCAATACCTGACTATTTACTTAGGGGCAATGACCGCTTTTCCCTCAGATTGTCAAATAATGAAATGACAAGAGCCACCACCACAACAGAGTCGGTGTAATGAATCAAAATTATACCTATTTCTTTTGTCAGATCAGCAAAAAATACGTATTTTGTTGTGCCACAGAATTTTAGGAATTAGTTTGTGTGTGCTCTGAAATGAAAAAGGTTGAAAATTGTTGGTCTAGACTGAATTTAAACTTGTCTAGATCTTTAGAGGGCTAAAAACACACTGGTCCACTATTGTCAAAATCTAAGGGGAAATAAATGTTAATGTGTTTAGTTTCTCTCTAAACTTTCTATTCAATAGCTCTTAAATTTTTCAAAAACCCATGTCATTTCTAAAACAATTACGGCAATCGGCCATTTTTAATGTTAAAATTTAAGAATAAATCTTTCTATATGCAATTTTTTAAGTCTCATGATCACAAAATTACTATTGCCAACTATAGATGTCACAGTTATTCCAGATAGATGAAACACATTCTCCCTTTTTCAAAGAAAATAAAATCACTGTATCAGTTTTCTACTATAAAAAAGCTGTGAACTTGATAATGAATGCTGTATAGTCTCTTAATTCCATATTTCGTCCTTATGTCTTACTTGCCTGTGTATGAGATATATTATTTTCCAAATAAAAGAAAAAAAACAGATCCACTGGGAGAAAGAATGTTTAATAAATGGTGTTGAAACAAATAGCTATCTGTTTGGAATAAAAATAAAATTAGATCCTTATACCTTGCACCATATAGAAAAATACATATATTACTGATGGATTCAAGAGTAAAAAATAAAAATGCAAGTACCCAAAATTCTACATACAATTTTAGGGGGTTCACAGACTCCCTAAAGCCCATCCATGGATCTCAGATTATCTAGAAGAGAAATTGTTAATCATAATGTCTATTAAAATCTCAATGCCAAATACTAGACATGTTTTCAAGATCAAGTCACATGCAACCAATAAAGATGAACACATTAAGTCATTGTTGTAATTTTATAAAATTTCCAAACTGGAACTAGAAACAGAGGCATGTCAATACAAATGGACAATGACTTAAAAAAAATACACCAATTTAAATAAGTTTGAGTGCATACTGTACAAGTGTATCCATGTCTGGTAGTCTTTCAGAAATATAAAATCAGCTTAATCTGTAGTACTTAAAATTTATTTTAAGTGTAATGTTATTCTCAAACTTGATTAAAATACTTAATAAATACAAGTTATGTTTATTATGAATAACTGCAACATACTTAAACATCTAAACATATAATAGGAATTCTATAATATTAAAATGCAATACTTTCACCTGCATTAATCTCACACACAATGGAAAAATACTTGCAGATAATTAGCATTAAGAATGCAAATATATTTTCACTGTGGAAGAAGAAAAATAAGATTAGAAATGATATATTTGAGTGATCTACAAGGAAGCTGTAGATAGTCTACATTATGACATTCTATTTTAAAATGAAAACAATTCAATATGTAAGTTTACAACAAATTTACTCAAGGCAAAATATTTGTTTATTACAGAACAGGATCTTAAGTCAAAGTAAGCAAGGCAACATTAGATCAACCATTTAAGATTTTTTAAATGAAGTATAGCTTTAAAATTGTAATAAAGGCGAACATAAATTCTAACATGCTGTTCTCTTCTTATAAATGGGATGATGTAGAAAAGCAAAGCTTCAAGGTGTAGGGGTTGGAACCATCTGTAAACATTAAAAAGCAAAAGTTAATATTTCACTTCAAACTTTCAAGATTATCTTGAGCTAGCAGAGTAAATTGTTTTACCTTTTTATAGTACGAGAAGCAGGAATATAAAGAAGGAAAACTTCTATGTAAGGTTAAGGGGAAGATTACTTTTGTTCATAGGTACTAGCAGGGAAGCTCTAGAAAGCCAGGAACTTTGTCTATTGCTACATCCCTATTGTTCTAATCATTATCCAACACACAGAAGGCACTGGATTTTTTTTTTTTTAAGTGAACTAATCATTACAGATAAATAGTATCAAGATTAGGCATATGTCCATGAGCAAAAAGCTCACTTAGCAGAAAAATATTACCAATGGTAATTCGTCAATAAAAACCAATTCAACAACAGCTTGGGAAGTGGGATAAGACTGTAATGCACAGGAAGGTATCAATAAAGTGAAAAAAATTCCAGGAGATCTAGTATTAAATCTCTGATCAACATGGCATGCAAGTTCTAAAATTCCTTTTGAAAAAACAATTGGGTATAAGCCACAAAAATACTTCCATTTCATGCATTTTTCTCTAACTTTTCAGACCAAGCAGAGGTAACTCTTCATCGATTATACAAATAAATTACTGTTTTCTCTTGTTTTTCTTTTTTAAATCCTCACCCAAGGACATGCTTATTGATCTTAGAGGGAGGGGAAGGGAAAGAGGGAGAGAAACATCAACTGGTTGGCATTCATACGTGCCCCAACTGGGGACTGAACCCGCAACCCAGGCATGTGCCCTGACCGGGAACTGAGCCCATGACCTTTCTAATCAAGTAAGCCACACTGACCAGGGTCAACTGTGGTATCCTAATGTAGCAGAATTTTAGTCTTAAAAGCTATTGTTTCTTAAGGGGGAAAAAAATCATATAAAGGAAAAAAGCATATATATAAACAAGTATTTGCAAGACACTGCAGAAGATAAAACAGAAATAACTGTATCTGTCTCCAAGGAGTTTACAATTCACACACTACCTGGAATATATCTCAAATGTGCATATAATTTTAAAGTCTTTTAAAACTTTCTATCAAAAATTAAGCCTGACTCGCTACTTAAAATTTACTTTTGTGACTAGAGGGAAAATGGGAAATATTCCTATTTATTTATTTAACTTTTTATTTAAAAAATGTTCAAACATAAAAAAAATACATCGAATGGTATAATAAACCCTCACATATTACCTCACTTCAATAACTGTCAATATTTGGCAGTCTTATTTCATCTCCCTACCCGCCATACACTTTGGGGGACTAGAGTATTTTAAAGCAAATCCACAAATCCTTCAGTGTATGCTTTTTTCCTTAACTACCATTCATTAACACACCTAATAAAATTAATAACAATTCTTCTCCTCTTAGAAAAAGAAAGTTTTAACACCCTTTAGAACCAGGATCAAAGTAAACTGCACAGCACAAAACTTCAGGAGTTCAATACTTTGCACAGTAAAAGAGAGGCCTTTACACAATGGAGAGAGTAAACAAAGTGATGATTTCATTTGATACAAATATAAAGAAAAAAGAAAGTCCGACTACATTCTATTGCTACAAATGTTGGACAACAGGTGTTTTCATTTACCACAGGTAGGGATGTAAGCTGGTGCAACCTTTTCAAAGGGCAATCTAACAGCATTTACCAAAATATACAGCTTAATGCCCTCCACTACTAGGAAATTGCCCTGCAAGTACAAAATGCGGAACTGTAAGAACATATATTACAGAAATAGAAATAACAACCAGGAACAATAGTGATCATCAGTGCAGAAACGGGTAAATCAAATAAACTATGGTATACCTATACTATGATTAGCTACTCTGCCAACACTGGAAAAAACAAAAACAAGAACCCATAAAAAGTAGCTTTTCATGTGCTGATACAGAAATAGCTCCGAGATGTATTAGGTGAAAACAGGAATGCACAGAATAGTGTGTACAGAGACACTGTTTTGTTTAAGTTTCAAAATGTACATATAATATATATTTACACTGGGAGAAGGAATAAAAGGAAGAGACAAAAGGTTAGAAGGTATTGCCCTGGACAGTGTGGCTCAGTGGATTGAGCGCTGACCTGTGAACTGAAAGGTCACTGGTTTGATTCCCAGTCACGGCACATGCCTGGGTGCGGACCAGGTCCCCTGTTAAGGGCATGCAAGAGGCAGCCAACTGATGTTTCTCTCGCTCTTTTTCTCCCTCCCTTCTCCTCTCTCTAAAAATAAATTAAAAAAATCTTTTTAAAAAAAGGATTAGAAGGTATGTGAAGCTTTAATTTTCATTCTGTAGCTTCATGCACTGTTTTGAGTTTTTTAGCCATATACATGTATTGTTTTTCTCTAAAAAGATCAACGGGTATTATAGAAACCAGCTTCCAAGATAGCTCCAATAGATCCCCACACCTCCTGGTATTCACAGCCCTCCACAGTCCCCTTCACATTGTACCACTGTTGGTCTGTGTGAGCACAAGAATACAGCGTAAGGGACGTTACGTTACTTCCAACTTTAGGTTATCAAAGACACTGTAGCTTCTGTTTTGGTCTTCTGCTCTCATCCCTCTTGAAGGGATGAAGAAAGCCTCACTCTGAAGAAAGCCAGTTACCATGAAATGGACAACGCGGCTTGACTGGGCCTGCAAACCACCACGTGAGGGAGCTTGGCAGTGGATTTCCTAGATCCCAGTCAAGACGGGAAATGACTACAGACCCAAACAGCCTCAGTGCAGCCTCATGAGAGACCCTGAGCCAGCACCAACCAGCTAAACTGTACACAGATCACTGACCCTCAGTAATAGTAAGATGATAAATGTTTGCTGTTGTTTTTTTTTAAATCCTTACCCAAGGACCTATTTTCATTGCTTTCAGAGAGAGATTAAGAAGAGAGAGAAACACTGATGTAAGAAACATTGATCGGCTACCTCCTGTACGCGCCTGGACAGGGGAACATATGCGCCCAGACTGGGGATCAAACCTGCAACCTCGGTATACACTCTAACAGGGAATCGAACCTACATCCTTTTGGCTATGCTCTAACCAACTCAGCCACACCAACCAAGGCAATGTTTGCTGTTAAAGTGTTAAATGTTGGGATAATCTGTTACACAGGAATGGGTACCTATTATGTGGGCTGTGGGATTCATTATGCGTCTTACAGTTTGTACTCCTCTGTATTTTTTTAAAGCTAATAAATGTTATTTAAAAATTAATGTCAATGCTTCTGATTGTACCTTCCACTGAAAAATTATGGCACAATTTTACTTACTTGGAACTCTTATCTGGTAGTGATTAAGTGCTGTAAGGGCTTCTACTGCATCAGTTTTGCATTCCCATTCTAGCAGCCCAGAAAGCGTTTTGGCAGAAGCTAAAGCAAAGAATCACAAACCCAACTGTTATTTGCTTGTCATCAACTTAGCTAGAAAACTTAAGAAGAGGGAATGTGCACTTACGTTTCGCATCAAACACTTTATATTTGATGAATGTAAGAACTTCATGGTCATTACACAACTGTTAAAGAAATGCGGTACTTCATTAAAATTATGGCCAAAATAAGATTTCTACCTTTCTTAAACAAAATCAACTTTATGGTAGCTTTCAAGTTTTGAGCCTGGCCTGAATGAATTAAATATATTTTTAGATTAATAAGCTGTATGAGAAAATCAATTAAAACCATAGATTTGTAACTGAAATACATTATTCTCAGAGTTGACCAGAATTTACTGGTTGACCAACAAGAAAAGAGTTCTAGAAAATCAACTCTTTTCTGAAGCATTTCCTACAATTAGGGAAAAAAGCAGGGATATATAAAATTTTGTTATGGATAAGAATGAAAAACACAGTAATAGAAACTTTCTGAATGCAGGAGTAAGAGTATCTCATTCTAATTCCAACTCTCAGAAAGACTGCACCACAAACCAAAAACACCAGTGAAGAACGGAGGCCAGAGGAGCATAATGGCCAAATAATAAACTATATAAAGAAAGTACCAAACAAACAACAGAATAGTAACAATATCAAAAGCAGAGGAACAGCACAAGACTTTAAAAGGAGGCTAAAATACGGCATATTTTAAGAGAGAAAATAGGACCGTTTTACACAATCTGTATCTCAGTGCCCACCTTTGTGAAGGTCTCTTCTGTGACGCACAGCGGAACGTTGTAATAATGCAGCACACACGAGGGGGGCTGGATTATGTTCTTAGATGCTTGGCCAGCACTGGTAAAGCGATTATTTTTGCTCATGGCAAAATCCTTGTAGCTACTTGTACCATCCTCCAGCTCAAAGATTTGACTTGGAACAACTGAATGTTGTTTAGACACACTAAAGGTTGCAAAGGAAAAAAGCACAGAACATACTTGATAAAAAGCAGCATAAAGGCAGACTCAGAATGTTAATATGTATACCTGCGTCAATCTTAACAAAAAAGGGCATACAAAGCTATGTAAGCAGTTTAAATATTTATTATTTTGAACATTTATTTAAATATCTAAATTTCGTTTGAGTTAAATCACTCATATTTTAGACATCAGTTAGGAAGAAAAATCTATTGAATATGTATGTTCTCGTATTAGAACACTTTGACATGAAGTGTGCCCATTTTAACATCCTGTTTTATAATCATAAAACTACAAACTAGGTATAGGTACGCAAAGTCTGATTACATAATCCTAATACTTTGTCTAAAATGACAACACCATAGGTGCTAGTTTCAGATGTGCCCTCAGTTATATTAAAATATTCTGAAATTGAAATTAATGCCTTTAATAAAAAGGGTAAAGATTTTAAAATATTTTTAAATTTACCACTTAAGATATTTACCAAACATTAAGTCTTTTCCCAAATAATTTGACATTGTTAAGGTGTGTGACTGCTCTTTCTACAGCATATTCATCACCCATTTCTACCAGCGCTGTACCAGGAATGGTCTTCATAAATTTTACCTGTAAATACAAAAATGCCAAAAAGGTGACTATTTACTTAGTTCTCTTTTATAGTAACAGAACTACTAAAAGATAATATGGTTTGAGTGGTTATGACAAATACAGAAGATCACCTGGAATCTTTAACTTTATTCTGCTGTGCTATTATTAGACATTCTTAAATCAAAATTCAATGAAGTTAAAGAGGAAGACTATAATTATATTGTATAGCACATCGAAAAAGAGCACAGGCTTACCCTGGTTCTGTTATTAATTAACTGTGTGATCTACAGCAATTTACTTCACTTCTCTGAGCCTCAGACTTCCCTGTAACATGGAGATAATAGCATCTGACAGGACTTATCAATATTTATTCATTCGACAAATATTTATTAAATGCCTAATATCTTGATAAGCACTGTGCTAGGCATTGGGGATTTAATGGTGAATGTAACAGATGTGGTCTTCTTAAAGCTTATATTCTGATGGGTAGGTCAGAAATTTAAAAGTAAGTAATATTTACCAATATCCAGAGTGCTGTTACAGCAATATACAAAATCCTACATAAGAAATAACACAAGGCCCTGGCTGAATAGCTCAGTTCGTTAAAGCATAGTCCTGACATGCCAAGGTTGTGGGTTTGATCCCTTGTTAGGGCATATACAGGAAGCAACCAATAAAGACATAAATAGGTGGAACAACAAATCAATGTTTCTCTCCCCACTCCCCAGAATCAATAAATAAAATTATTGAAAGGAAAAAAAGAAACACAAGGTGGCCTTGAGACAACCCATAGAAAGGCTTGTGCAAGGTAGGAGCATTTAAAAAATAGGCAATACTTCACAAGTTTCCATGCCATGTTGGGCAGAGGCCACATTATCGTCTTATATTATTCCAATTTTAATATAAAGCATGTAAGGGTTAGATAGGATAAAGTATTAAAATCACTTGGCATTGTGATTTTCCTACCCATTGGAGAGTCCATAAAAAGCTATTAAATACCACTAACATCCATGACATTTTTTTTTTTAAAGATTCTATTTTTTTTTTCTCCTTAGTGAGAAGGGTAGGAGGGAGAAAGAGAGGGAGAGAAACATCAACGTGTGATAATTAGTTCATCATGTGAGAGATACATGGTTGCCTCTCGCACACCTCCAAGTGGGGACCTGGCCCACAACCCAGGCATGTGCCCTGAGTGGGAATCGAACCAGCAACCTTTTGGTTAGCAGGCCGGTACTCAATCCACTGAGCCACATCAGCTGGGGTCATGACATCTTGAACATACTTCCTTATCAGTTAACTTCAAAGAAATACTTGGAATGTACTTACACATCAAATGCAACATATCATTTATATCCACCACCGCAACTGTCAATTTCAATGGGCTCTCCTAGCATTTTTACAGCACACCTGTACTTGAACAAAACTCAGCTGTAGTGGGACTTTTCAGTTTTATCTGAAATTAACTGTCCTCTTTTGGGTAAAATTTCTCTCCCTTGATTAAATCCAGTAACATCCAACAAATCTAATCGTGAATGAATATGTATGTTATGTAGTTCTTGTGCTGGTAAATTTTTAAAAGAAGTTAGGGCCCTGGCCAGTGTGGATCAGTGGATTGGGCCCCGCCTGTGAACCAAGGGGTCGCTGGTTAGATTCCCAGACAGGACACATGCCTGGGCTGCAGACCAGGCCCCCAGTTGGGCGTGTGTGAGAGGCAACCAATCAATGTATCTCTCACACATTGATGTTTCTCTCCCTCTTTTTCCCTCCCTTCCCATCTTTCTAAAAAAAGTAAATAAAATAAAATTAGAACAGAATAGAGTTAGGAAAAATTATATATAGATATTTTAAGGATTATGTTGGCTTAAGTTTATTGTATCATAATGTATCATTTAAAATACTTAAAAATTTTTGAGATGTGGAGTAGGAGAAACTAGAATTGTTCAAACAGCATACAGAAAACTTAAGTTTTTTTAGACAAAGTAATTTGGGTTTTTAAACCATGAGATAATTAGTTCATAACACAAAAGACAAAGCTCTACTGGAGATGCTGATGAAACTGCATGATTCTGCTTACTTACAAATGTGAAAAAGCACAAACAAAAAATACTATGTAAAGAAGATTAAAATATACATTAAAGCCCATTTAGTTATCAAGCATGAGACTCCTAGACCTTAACTAAACAAAAAGGTGTCTAAGACAAATGTCTGTATTAAAAAATCTGAACTATTTTTCCCTATGTTGCTAAATCTGTCTGTCTTATAACTAGCCATCCAGTCCTGGCTAGTTATAAGTGTATATATCTTGTATGTTATCCCCTAGACCAAATGTAAATTTTCCTTTTCTTTTTTTTTAAATGTGATCAAATAATTATGTTGAGGAAATTCTTATTTCAGAGATTTTCCAAGTTGCTTCCTCAAATCAAGGAAGCTTTAGAATTAAATTAAGAACTAAGAGTACCAAGAGACTCACATAACATACTTATACTTTACTGTTGTAAAAACAGGGAAAATATTACTACAATATTGAAACTCAAATTAGCAAGTATATCAAACAATTTCCCCAGTAAATTTTCCATGATGCTTTCAAATATAGGTTAACATCTATTTTGTAACAGGACTATCCTAAGTATTTGTAAAATTATCAATGAACAAAACATCACAGATGTGGAGAAACCACTGAGTTATCTGGTGAAAATCAAGTTACAATTTTAAAGGTCTTCAAAATATGTTTAATTTAAATATTTTGCTTCTTTCCCAGTATAAGCCTCTAGACAAGGAAGTTCTGGACAAATTCTACCAAAGTGGGTCAGTTTCAAACACCGCTGAAGCTGAAAGCATATTGTTCCTCAGAAAATACAAGAACTCTAGCATTTGGGAGGCAGGTAAATCTATACAAATCTAGAACCATCCAAAAACTCATGACTTGAGGCCAAACTCTTAAGACATATTTATGAACACCTAGCTCTATGAAAATAACTGCTATTTCAAATTCTAGATTAACCTGTTAAATACTAGCTAGAATCTCTTGCCCTGGCTTGTGTGGCTCAGTGGGTTGGGCACCATTCCACAAACCAAAGATCACCAGTTAAATTCCAGGCCTGGGCACATGCCTGGGTCACAGGCCAGGTGCCAGGTTGGAGGCACTGAGTGGCAACCAGTCAATTTTTCTCTCACACACCCATGTTTCTCTCCCTCTCTTTCTCCTTCCCTTCCCCCATCTCTCTAAAAATAAATACATAAAATCTTTTAAATGCTAGAATCTCTTTGAAATGATTAAAAAAAAAAAACAAGACTTATGTCTATAATACTCCAGTAATTGACTAAACTGTTTTAGACTTCTATTTATACTATTTTAAAAATATTTTTAATACCAATAACCTATACTGATCACTTACCAATAAAAAACAATTTCTGTTTTTTAGCTCATGTGGGTTACTACTGAAAGAACTTGAATGTTCTTATTCAAGAAAACATGCATTTGCTGCCTTTTCAGATTTTCCTACATTATCTTTGCAAAAAAAAGTAATAGTAATATAAAATGAAACTTACCTTTTCAATATTTCCATATAAGCAAAATAGGTTGAAGACTCTTGAACAATTCATTTTTAGTGGATGTAATCCACTAACCATTACAACGGAACCAGAGGGATTTCCTCCATGCATGTAGGAGGAAGAAGCCTGTGGTAATGGATACGCAACAAGCTCAGGTGTATCTCGAGAGCCCATTCTGTAACGACTTGGTAAAGGCAATAACGGACCGTGCGATCCTATAAAAATGATCGGAAAAAAGAAAACAGAACTTTAGCAAATACACTATATACTACGCAAAAAATAAACTCTTAATATAATTTAGTCTGATATATGTCCAAAGAAAATTCAAATGTGTGAATGTTCAAATATAACCTGTAGTAATTAATAAAATCTACATTTATTTGGATCAGAGCCAACATACACTGGCCTGCATGTGCCTGCATACATCAGGTTTTAAGTTTATATATTTAAAAAAGTAGTTTAACAAAAAAAAAAAAAAAAGAGGTATACAAGATACACGATCAGGCCATAGAAAGGGGGAGGGAAATCAGTGTTAACTTTAGGTCAGTATATATACATTATACCTCAAGTTCAAAAAAAGACTTCTGTCAATGTGTTTTGGAAGATAATACTACAATACCATATACAGTAAAATCTAAAAAACTAAAAACATCTTTAGTTCCACTGAAAAGTTGTCTCCCTTAAATGTAATTTACTATAATGTACTTTCACGTTACTATTTTATTCCAATTCTAATTTGGGGTAACTAAAACCATAGGTTTAATTAATATCACACCTATTTCAGTGTCATTATTCAGCAACCTCCATTTCTTGCAACATCAAGAAGCAGAAGAAAATGCCTTGAGTAACTGAACCTGTTGTCACAAAAACACACAAAAGTCTATGTCTCCTATGCTGAGAATCCTTAAGAATCAACCTGCTAACTTTAGTTCTAAACAACTTAATCTGGTTTTCCCATCCACAACATATTAGAAGTAACCAGAAAAATAAAGCCCCAGTAAATGAAATAGACAGGAATGAGCAAGTCTGGAGAAACTGTGGCACCACAAGTAGGCACAGGGCACATTTACAGCAACAAGAAGAGAGGCATGAACACTCAGAAGAGGCAACTAAGCTGGAGACAAGTAGCTCAGAAATATAAACCTACGCATCACAGGCGCTCCTGAGTTAGTGCCTAGAGAAGCCAACTCTGGGATACACACAAAGGTCCTCTTGGTGTGTAAGAAACCAATCCAAAATCCCAAGTCCTTTCTTCTTTTCTCAAAAAGTGAAGACTATAAAATGTTACTGACTTTCCTTTTTATGTAAGACTAAGGGACACAGTAATAACACTTTACTTTTATCTACTGGGTTACTAAGAACTACTGTATTTTGGTACTACACCATGCTATAGAGCTTACGTGGACTCCAAATTTGGTATTCAGTATTTTAAATACAGTTACCATTCAAAACACACAGCAACACTGGCACTGAGTACATGCAAACAGTATGAATTCCTGAAATTTTAGAGAGCAGCAATTTTCAACTGGCATGCAGCAAAAAAAATTCTTAATGTGCAATACCTGACTTCCAAAAATTTAGAAGTAACTATTGGTTTTAGAGAGCAAGAAAGGGAGAGAGGGAGAACATCAACACAGGAGAGAAACACTGACTGGTTGCCTCCTATATGCGCCCTGACCAGGGATCAAACGTGCAACCTAGTTATGTGTCCTGACCAGGAACTGAAACCTCAACCTTTTGGTGTATGGGATGATGCTCCAACTAACTGAGCCACACTGGCCAGTGAGCAATATGTGACTCTTCAGTCAGGGCCAGTGACCTCTTTTCCCTTAGACTGTTAAATTAAAAAATCACAACAGCCAATACAATAGCCGTCCGGTGTGAATGAATCAAAATTATACCTTTTTTTTTTTGGTCAGGTCGGCAAAAAAATATATTTTTGGTGTGCTGCAGGTGTGTCATGCTATTTTTTAAAAAAGGTGATAAAATCACTGTTATAGAGTAATCCTTTATCGATGTATCATCATCAGTGTTGCCTTAAACTGGTCATGGTTTTCAATAGCTCGTCTTGCTGGTAATTGGTAGTTCATCAAACAATCAACATCGCTTAAGGGGAGTTACTTGTTAGCAACTACATATACCTTGGCCTCTAACTCAAACTGTTAAGCATACACTGGGGTTATATACCAATCATTCTTATCCCTGTTGCAAAAGTATGTATATATGTTGTACTGCACCACTCCACCCACCATTTGCTTGTACAGTAATGACACTTTACTATTGTCACTAAATTTTCTTTTCCATGGGAAGTGGGACATATGGTAGATGAGTAGTAGAAAACTTCCACTCTGCTTAAGTTGGTCAAGGTGCAAAAACTTTGAGATCTACTGCCATACTTAACTATCAAATTCAGTGCAAGAGTATAACTGATGTTTATAATTATGATCTTGTGCCATCAGAATTGATTAAATTATGTTACCTATTGCACTTAATTTGTTACCCATATTGTTTAAGAAAATAAGAAAAAAAAAAGAAGTCTTGTAAGAGCTTTCTATACTAAATCATGCAAAAAAAGTTTCGGTACTTAAAAACCATGCTTCAGGTAGTATTTAAAAAATTCACTTATGTGAAAAAATGCTACATAACTGGCCTTATCAACATTTGGAAGGTATTTCCCATCTTTGATATTCTAAAATCTTTGGTCCTGGAACCATATCCAAAGACACCAGCAATCACTACACAAACTTTTCTTGGGCTCACAGCAAGTAAATCTGTATATTTATTTTTGCCAGTTTTCAAATATAAGGGTTTCTACCAGTTCATCTCATAGGGCTGGGCTTCCCAAATTAAAAGAGTTAAAGAATTCAGAAGGTACATTTATACTGTTGAATTACATTGAATAATAAGTTCAATCTTGTTAAATTAAACCTTTTCCATTCCCTCTTTCTTACATACCAACATAAAGGAAAAGCCGCACGTGACATGACACAAAAATGCAAATAAACCTGTTTCGCTGGACTGCTGAACCGAAGGGACACAGCCGTATTTGTAAAAATTCACTAGCTCCCACTTCGACCTTCTTTTGTCTTTCCCCAATTTCCTCACCTTACTTCTCTGAATCTTTATCCCTCTCTCTCTATCCCCCGCCCCTCCTATACCCTATTCTGCTTACTTCCCTACAAAGTAGAATTATCGTCAGACTTAAGTGTTTCAATGAACAGGGCTCAGAATGGACATCCCTGCACAACCCCACCACAACCATTCCTCTTCAGCAGGACTCCCCAGGGCCTGAGAGATCCCCACTTAACAACCATCATCATGCCCTGGCTGGGTAGCTCAGGTGGTTAGAGCGTCGTCCCAATGCTTCAAGGTCGCATGTTCCATCCCTGGTCAGGGCACATACAAGAAGCAACCAATGAGTGTATAAATAAGTGAAATAACAAATTGATGTTTCTCTCTCTCTCTCTCTCTCCCCCTTTCTCTAAAATGAGTAATAAAAAAAAAAAATCACTTTGAAGAATTTTGCACCTCTTCTCTTTAACTAAGCTTACATTTTAAAATTTATATATACACACACACACAAACACTCAAAAATAAATTAGGGCATAAAACTGACAAAGTATTTTACAATAGGCTTTTTAAAAAAAATACAAAGTTCTTCTAGGGCTGTATTTTTTGTTTATATAATTTTGTTCTATATTTTTGTTTATGTAATTTTTCAGGAAACCTGGCAAATCACACTGAGAAAACAGTCTGTGTCAATACTCCTACAGTTGAGGTCTTCATCCTTCATTTATTCTTTCAGACTTAGCCTGCTTTGGCAAAACATTTAACCAATCTAGCCTTCAGCTGACACCCATGGCACAGTTACATGCTTCACAACTACACCACAAATTTATGATTAGCAACTTTTTGTAATCCTCCATTATGCACAGCACAATGGGCTCCTGATAAGTGTTGCTTTACCGCAGACTCAGAACTATCCATACAACCATTTTCAGTATTTACACTGTTAAAATAAACATCAATACATTATGAAGGAACACACTCTTAAAATGACAGTAAGCAGTAAGATTTTCATTCTATCAATATATACCACACTTACTACTTTGACATAACATATTGTTTTAATTTCTTCTGCCATATAGACTATCATAGAAACTTGGAACAAACACGAGAGCACATGCGTAATAAATCTTTTTCTCGGTTTCAAAAAAAAGACAACGGGGAATAAACTAAAACTCATAGCTAAGAATGGTCATCAAACATGTAAGCAATCCGAAAATATTTCAGACAACAGGGAACACCAGGGACTTTGACAATGAATCCCAAAGCATGATATAGCAGTTTCTATTCTCTACTACTTTAAAATGGCTTTGGACTTCAACTTTAAACCACAGAATAGATGGGGGTCAATAATTAATGCTTTTTAAAAACTAAAAAATATTTAAAATCACAGAACTTATAACCAGTTAAAAATCTTATTAATAGTAATTCTCAACATCTATTCACAAGGACAATAGCCTGATACCTAACTCCTTCTGTGGAAAAATATTACCCTAGTTTTCATAACCTTAACTTACCAACATAGCAAACATTAAAACTAAGGAAGTTTTAGAAGAGGAATTAAATACAAACCAATTTCACCAAAACCAAGATATCAACTATAGAACAGAAATAATTAAAGATCTAACCAGAAACATGTTTCCTTTTCAACAAATACCCCATTCTTTCTGCCTTTATTACTCAAAATTCCTCTTTGCTCATAATTGCTAAAATGGACGAAAATACGCTTACTGAGCAGTAACACTTCTTTTTGGTCCTCTAACAGAACCACAGCCGATTACTAATCAAAACCAAGACAAAACAAAATGGCAAAAAAGCTTTCAAATCCCCAACCAATAGCTCTCATTTATCTCAAGGATTATATGATCTATCAATATTCTAAAAAACAAAACAAAACAAAAAAAAAAAACCAAAACCCCGTAAGATTTTGGACAACTCCTTGGGAGTACATTATAAGGGAATGATCCCATACAAATCAAGTCAGGTGAGCAGAAAAACAGAAACAAGAAATGAGGCATTCTTTGTAAGAAATGCAAAAATGCTAATAATTCGTCTGTACTACCTTCCTTCTGCCTTGACAAACTTACCATAGCCATCATGTCTAAACGAAGAAGGGTGTTCTCCCAAAATGGCTTGTCTCTGGCGACCCTTTCCTCTATCTGACACAAAAGTAGAAACATGGTTTTAACAATTTTGACCCAAGTACTTAACAGAGTTCTCACATGGGAAAACCCATTCAAAACATCCATTACAATTCATAAAAATATATATATATGAGATACCTGGTTAACTTTAAACATCCATTCATAACCATTTTAAATACAAACACCAAAGGTTTAAGAAAATAATTCTATCTAACAAACTCCACTTGACTTGAAAATATCTTTTTGGCAAATGCCAAATACAATCACACTTTCAAATTTAAGAAAAGAATGGATACTTTTCAGAAAGTGAATGTACACAATGCTAGAGTTTGACACTGTACAGAAGTTTTTACCAATACATGTCTTTAAAACAAGCTTTAAGTGCAGTACTTTTGAAAGACAGTACCTGAATCATACTATTAGCTTCAACAGCAACACATTTTCAAAGTGGGCTTCTTTCAAGAAGTTCAGCATAAGCCAACAACAACCTGTATTACATGGTTTCACAATCAGTAAACACAGAGTATTTTGTATGTATATACACATATTTACAAACACCTACAGACTCGAGAGCTGGAAATTTGCACATCACTGGCCCAGATTGTATCATGGATTGGTCATTGTGTATGATCTTAACACCAGGCAGGACTATGAGCACCCTCAAAATTTAAATATGCCAAGATGAAGCTAACCAAGGGGGCTACATTATTGGATGAGAGTACTACAATACTCCTAAAAAATAATTTTTATTTTAGCTACATTTTCAGGGAAGATTTGCCAATTTTCCCCAATCGAATTTGAGACTTCAATAAAAAGTGACTTGTAAATTTCTAAAATATCATTTCCTACATTGTTAGTAAATTTTAAAATTCATGTACAATACTTTTAGAAAGTTTGCTGATCAAATAATAGTGACCAGTAAGGTTTTTTAAAAAAATTTATCTTAAGAGTCTGGTCATTCTAATCTTTGAAAATTTAAAGAGAGAGGCTTTCTATATGTCCTTAGTCACCTAAACAAATGAGGTTTATGGGAGATGAGAAATACTTTAATATTCACTTCAATCTAGAGAAGTAGCATTTTAATTACCTATTCCAAGTTATCACAGCATTGACAGGGACCTAGGAAGTCATCTCGTTCAACTTTTATTCAATGAATAAATTCTTTTTACATCATCCTGATCAATTGGGACCATGCAGCCTCCGTTTACCCAACACCAGTAACAAGACACCCACTGGTTTCCCTCACGTTTTCAGTTAGTCCTAAATCATCAGGAAAGTAACTTTTATATTATATAGAAATTAGTTCTTTACCCACATTCTATCCCATTTGGGGCATTCCAAATGCTTAAAAGCTACTATGGTCATCCCTCCATTTTCCCCAAATCACCACTTCTCCAGTCTAATCATTGTTTCTTCTTCCTGTTACAAGGCTTCCAGCACCATCATTTCAATTTCACTCCTTTTGCATCGATCCTATCTGTTAACGCATTCTGCTAATGTGCCTCTATTTAAGCATGCCACCAAACACTAAATACAATTCTTTGTCTGATCTAGGAATCTGAAACCAGAACCACCAGGTCTTCAAGGCTCAGTCTTATCCATAGTTAACTGTGTGCAATAGAGGAAAGAGCACCGTATTGGGAATCAGAAGATCCCCACTTAACCCCTAATTTGCTACACAATCACAGAAACAATCTTCATTCACAAAATGAAGGAGTTAGGGTACATAATCTCCAAGGTATCTTTCAGCCAAACATTCTCATTATTACTAATTCTCTTTATTTTAAGCAGTCAGTACCTAATAGAAGGTCACATAAAATAGAAGAACTGTGCAGAAGAGTCAAAAAACACTGAATACACCAGTCTATAAATAGTGGTTTATAACCTTTCCTGGATTCATCTGAAACCTGATGGAAGCTAGGGGCCTTCTCTACCAAAAGATACATAGATAGGCAAGTTTCGCTTAACATTTCTGGAGGGCATGCTAAGAATTCTCTGCACTAAAATGTAATTTGGGCTGTAAAGGACTTTTAAAAAATAAAGTTATATTTATAAAAGTATTTTGGTAAAAAAAAAAAGGGGGGGTTACAATTCAGTATCAACTTGAATAGAAGCTGAAGTCACTACAAAAATAAAAATAAACTGCTACAGTCTTGCCAGACAAACATCTACCTATAAGGAATTAGAAAACAAAAATTCTTTCCCCTTGAAAGCATAAACAACTAAAATTCTCTTTGACTTCCTTTAGTTATACTTCACTATTTATATATCTACCTTACACATTTCTAAACTTTTCTAACTGCAATTCCTTGCATGAAAAACTAATGTAAGTTGGCTCTGTGTAAACTTTAGACTTTTTTAAAAAATGTTATCACTATTAAAATAAGCAACAAGTCTGTAAATGTTTTAAGAGACATTAAGAGAAATGTGACCAAAATCACTATTTCAAATGAGTTAAAAAAAAACAAACCCTGAGTGTTCACTAACTTACTGTAATTTGACAGAAGTGAGAGATTTCTCATCAACCACTTGTTCTGTTGTTTGAGTACTAAGGCTTTGTTTTCCAATATTGTATTCAACTGTACCAAGCAGATTTCTGAGGAGCGAAAAATGTGGGGTCCAGGCAAAGCTGCTTTACAAAACAAATCTGTTTGTAACCCCCTATATAAGGCAAGATGATTACCTGAGAACTGAGAGTTAAAGGGGCCAATCATATAGTCCTAAATATTTAAACATGCCAAGAAACACACTGCATCGTATTTTTTTTTCTTTGGGCAAGAGTGTATGCATTATAGAGTCCCTACTGCCCAAGGTATTTTGGATGCCATAAAAATTTTTACTAGTTTATAAAATTTTACAGACATACTCATCTTGGTGAGTTTTCCCAACATATGGTTCAAATGCTGATATTGTAGTTGAGATGTAGCCAATATTGCAGCCCCCTTGTTTTTACAAGATCCACATTTTAATCTGTATATTCCAAAATTGCCACACATTTAGTTGAACAATTTTATCAGTAAAAACTATGCTCATGAAATCTAGCATTTATTGGTTATAAGTGAAAATGTATCTCAAATGAACTGCTCTTACTTTCAGATTTATCAAGTTTAAATAGGTTCTACCTTGAACAGACATGTTACTTTCACCTCCATTTGAAATGTCAGAATTTCTATACAAATTAACATGATAACCTTAAATTGTTACAAGAAGTAACAACTTATAAACAACCACTTTACAAAAATCAAACCACACAGAAAATCGTCTTTTACATATAATGTACCTTTTCATTATATTATTCTATTTAATGACCACACTTGAGGGGGAAAAAACCCTTAAGTGCAGCAAGTGTGCACCTTTCTAATTCTTTTATCTTTAATATCTGTGTGGATTGGTTGAGCATTATCAATTCCCAAGACCTACAGATAAATTGGTCCTGGTTATTTGCCAATTAACAATTTGAATCTAAGCTGCAAACAATTACAGTAATGGGTACTAAGATTTACAACATTGTAGATAAAGGCTAGTATTTGTTAGTGAAAAGTCTTTAAATTCTACAACTGAAACCTTAAGGGAAATCAGACCAATATACACATACAACTTGAATAAATGGGCACAGTCTATCATGGTGTTCATCCCATGCAAGTCTGAAGTACTGTTAAGTGTCCACCTTTAAAAACTTGGGTGATGGTGCATGCAGTATGCAGTCAAGGTGAATTGCAAGTCTGAGTTTTTCAGAGGGCTTTTTGCTGATGCCGATGTTGTGCATGATGAAGTGTAGAGTCAGCCTGCTGGAGTCCTCTATCCTTCTTAATGCCTCGTCCAGCTTGGGGGAAAAGTCCTTTCCATAGAGAAGCAGTGTGCAAGTTTGAAGTTTGTAAGGAATATTCTGAATCAGTTTCCTCTCCTCCAAAGAGAGAGAGCTGCTTGGAGAAATGCAAGTCCTTGAACTGCGGGCGTGCTTGTATGTGTGGGCTCCTTTGTTGAACTAAATATAAATAACTCAGTACACACCAGTAGGGGGCACTAATGTTCAAGGTTATTTTCCAGCATTGCATGGCCTTTTGCAACAAAAGCATTCACCAACAAGATTTTCATTGGAATGAACTAGCTCATCTCAGGAAAGAGGAATCTAACTGCATGTAAAAATTTTCAGCAGATATAAGTACATTCTAAAATGCATAAAATACTTACCTCGTCTTCCCAAATATGGTTTAGTGTAGTCCCAACTGTCATTGTCATTCCTAATAACATTTAGACGAGTTGGCTGTTAAGATTAAGAAGAAAGTAAGTTCAAGTTGTATATCCAAGGCATAAATATTTCTTTGGTGAAGTGATGGAAAAAATATTTACCCTTGCATATTCGATTTTTAGTGTGCAACATCCAGCATATATATCAGCTCCATTGAGTGCTGCTTTAGCTTTCTGGGCACAAAGGACGGATTCAAACATAAGCTCTATTAAGGAAATTTGGTTTAAGATGTCCATTACTCAATCATTATTCAAACCAGGAAAAGGACTTAAAAAATCAGAAATAACTCTTTCACTTCAGAAAATGTTTTAACAAATAAAATTTCTAGATGAGTTTTAATAGGGGATTTTATTGTTAAGATCAACAGTACCATCACAGGATATATAAATGTCCAATTACTGTGTTGTACACCTGAAACTAATATTGTATGTCAACTGTAATTTAAAAATAAATGTAAAAAATAAGTTAGAAAAAGAAAAAGGATCAATAATATTAAAACAAAACAACAAAATATAACCAATCTATCTACACATTAATCCTCCTAAATAATCAGAACCTCTCTGTAAATTGGAGCAGAAAAGGGAAAGGGAACATGGTCACATTCCCCAGCAAAAGAGAGCCTGCTACCTTGAAACGGGAGATATTTTACTCTTAACGTTACAAAGAATGAAAATAATACAAAACAAACAATTATTATATATTTCTGAAAAGGCAGGGTTTTATAATCAGGTACTTATCTTCAGTGTATTGGTTTTTGTCTGTGATTCTTTCCAAAAAATAAAATCAAACCACAACAGTGGCAATAAATAAATAAATAAATAAATAGATGCAAAAATACCTTGCTAGAAACAAGCACCATCAGGAGTTTGCTGTAGATCCCTTTCTCTATGCATATACTAGGGTTTAAAAAAAATCGTTATTTTAAGTGGAACTGTATTACAGTGTATCTACTATTTTGCAACTTGCTCTTTTTTACTCAACATATAACCAATTTAACAGAGTAGTAGTTCTTACATAAACTATGATCATTTAAGATTCAATAAAAAAGGTAAGAAAAGTTCTATTGATTGTAAAGTTTTGGTACTTCCGAAGATTTAGTAAGATTCAGAATTTCATTCAAGATAAATTTCAAAAAAGTACAATTATACAAATTATCAAATAGTGTTATTTTTCCTTTCATTGAAAAGACAAAACACGCTGTAAGATAAAGCACTAGATTGTTGCATGAGAGCAAGCAAAATTATTTGTGGGTAATGCAGTTTCATTTTTTAAAAGAAAGAAAAACAGACTGCAGGGAATAAACACCACTTGTCTAGAAATGATTATGCAGAAAAAGGTAAGGTCTATGTTACAACACATTCATACATATCAGTTAAAAAATTACAAATAAAGGATATTCAACCATTGCTTGTATCCCATTTCTCTTGAATATAACAATACGTTGCACTTTTCCAACAGGGTTGCATACAGTATATAAAACATCCTAAGAAGGAAAAAATAAGATTTCTTCACATTTTGTATTTCCAAAAAAATCAGAGCTATCCACTGATTTCTTTTACTAAAAAAATAAAAAAACTGTCAAGATGTCATTTCTATTAATTACTAACTAAACTTTTAAAAATTCTCACACTTCAATAAATCTAAAGTTATTTCCTTACTTACATAATACCCACACATTACAGAAGTTCCAATGAAATACTTGAAAAGAGCTATTACCTATTTGACCCCTAAATGAATCCTCAATTTTTATTTTCTTAACAGACCAAAATACAATAAACAAGAACAATTAACAGCAGAACTGTGATTAATTTGTTGCTTTCCAAATGTGACTCTGAAATGATTCATATTATAACCATTTGAATTATGGTAATAAATAATTATTAAGGGGTAATAATAGAACAACATAGTATCCATTTTTCAAGGGACAATGGCTATTCAGAAAAGACACAGGGAAGATCATTTACACAGTGTTAAATGACATCCAACAAGGTGCCTGAATCAACTAAGGAAGAACCTAAATACCTTCCTAGGAACAATTTTTCAACTTTCAAGAAATTTCTTGAATACCTATAATTACATAGGCTGTAACATTAGGTACTAGGGACACAGCAATAAGCCAACCAGAGTAGTTGTACTAGATTAAGTTATATTCTTCTCCCCGAAATGCCAAATACTTTAATTATACTATCCCTGTATATTAATGTCTATAAATATTATAAAGATAAATGTCTAATTAAAGGCATGATACTATTTAAATTTATGTCCCAATATCATATACTCTTACTAGAACACTAACTGAAGTTTTCCTTACTGTAATATTCTATTCATTACAAAAATCAAGTGCCTTTGTCATTAGCTTATTGTGAAACAGCATGTGATTATAAAATAGAACACTCAACTGGTCTAGAACATGAATCTTTTTTAAAATTCTATTAATGTCACTTTTTTAAGGAAAAAGCAGGGAATTTAAGTAAATCAGGCCAGCTTTTAACAACTTATATCAAAAGACCTTATAGTACTGACATATGCATCTTACTATACTATAGGAGTCTGTCATTACCTAGTAGATGCTCTTGATAAATGTGCTGGCATATGAGTAACAGTGAGTTCTTGGATCATTTCCAACAAGTCTGTCTAATCCCTTATTAGAAACAGCATGGATGCTTTAAACATGCTTATTTAATTATGACAACTGTGCTTCTGAACTTTTTAGTATCAGAGCTCACCACTTCTTCGCTCATTAAACTTAATAGTCAAAATTAAGATTCATTTTAATAATTCTAAAAACAACCACTATTTCTAAATATCTAGAGGGCAGTGAAGAAAACTGTCAATCGAGCAGCAAACTCTAAAATCACTTTTAATTTAGTTTGTCATTAAAAATCCATACCACTGTAATTGGATAAAGGGGATTCTGGATTGATAATAGAAGAACTTTGTTGCCTCCTGATGGATCATCAGTATTTCCTGGCCGAGTGATCCTTTTGCTTGTAGAATAGTTGAAAAAAGCCTGTTGACCAGCAATGTACACAGGTTCATCCGCAGCAAACGTCACACATTCTTTGGCACTATCTATGTTCTCAAATTCCACTAGAGCCTGTCGTTTAAATGGCATCATCATCACATAGCTGAAAGGGAGATTGGGAGGGAATACTCACATATAGTAAGTTCAGTTAACATTATTTGTTCTCAATCAAGTAAAAGCAGACTTCTAAAAAAAAATGTGTCAAACTGTATAGATTAGTATTCTCCACTGGTATCCTAAGTTTGTCAACTCTTAGATTATCCAAATTGGTTGTGCAATACCGGGTAGGTGGTGCATATTTGAAAACGTATCCTCCTGTGACTGAAAGCTTATCCATTTCATGCCTTCCTCAGGCACAATTTTCTGTTATCAGTTACTAATGACAGGACCCAGTTTATTCCTCAGGCTGCCACTCCCAAGTATATTAGAAAATATCTTGATACAAAAACCAATAATGATAAAAGCCAACAGACATTTAGAGGATGGGACCCCTAAAAACAGAAACTACTACCTCTACTGATTTTTCCAAATAAATAATGCCCACACTAATAACTATGCTTTCATTTCTCTTACAAAAAGAGAACTAAAGATAAACAAAAGTAACTGCAAACTGACCAAATCCCATACCAATAATCTCCCCCGAAATATTTTTAAATATTAAAGGATGTGAAAAGATATTCCCTAGAATATGGCAACCATGGTCACCTATGGGCAAGAAGGTAAAGTATTTACTTTTCATTGTACTCTTTTTGGGGGAAGGAATATACTTAAATACATGAAATAAAAAATACAGAAATGAAAGAAAGGAGGGAAAAGGGAAATGAGAGTGTGTGGATCACAACAGGAAATAACATGTCCTCTATTCACAGGGACAAGAATCTTAAAAATGTTTTTTTAAATACAGTTAACATGGTTTTTATAATAGTAGACGGCTGGAGAAATAACATCAGGTCAGCTCCTTGGGGACAACACCGCTTCTCAATCAGGCATCCAGGACCCGCTGCTGTACTTTAGAAACTGGCAAAGGGTCTATTAATGAAAAACAGAACATTCTGTAGCTTGGCAAACTATGTAATTTCTTATGAATTTCAGCTTCCACATTTATAAAACTTGGAATTGTATCAAGATTACGATTATAAAAACTGCTTGCCTTGCCTCATTCATCTTTATATTCTCAGAAGCAAGTGGCACATAACAGATATTCAATCAGTATTTGTTAGTCTATGAGGCTTGTTAGCATTTCCCACCTACATGAAGCAAAATTAAAGAAGGAAATACAGAAACAACAAGGCCTTGGATTTAAAGATTTACCAACTATAAATATAAGTTCTAGGAGAGAAACATTTCCTTTATTTTATTTATTTTTAACTTTTTAATTGAATTTATTGGGGTGACATTGGTTAATAAAATTATATACATTTCAGGTATACAATTATATAACACATTATCTGTATACTGTACTATGTTGTTCACCACCCAAGTCACATACCCTTCCATCATCATTTATCCCCCGCCATGCTCTCTTCTACCTCCCCCCACCCTCCCTTTCCCTCTGGTAATTACCACACTGTTGTCTGTGTGACTCTGAGTTCATTTTTTCTTAACCCCTTCACCTTTTTCTCCCAGCCCCAAAACTACCCTCCCCTCTGACAGCTGTCAGTCTATACTCTATTTATGCATTTACTCCTACTGTTTGTTAATTTATTTTCCTCACTAAATTCCACATATGAGTGAAATCATATGGTATTTGTCTTTCTCTGACTGGCTTGTTTCACTTGGCATAATGCTCTCCAGGTCCACCCATGCTGTCACAAAGGGTAAGAATACATTAGAAGTAATAAACAGTAGAGTGGATGAAGCGAAGGACAGAATCAGCAATTTGGAAGACAAGGTAGCAGAAAATACCCCATCAGAGAAGCAAAAGAAAAAATAATTTTTTAAAATGAGGATACTTTAAGGAACCTTCAGGACAACATGAAGCTTAACAACATCCACATCACAGGGGTACCAGGAGGAAGAGAGAGCAAACAAGGTATCAAGAACCTATTTGAGGAAATAATGACTGAAAACTTCCCTAACATGGTGAAAGAAAAAGATACACAATTCAGAAAGTGCACAAAGTTCCAAACAATATGAACCCAAAGAGACCCACACCAGGACACATCGTAGTTAAAATGGCTAAGAGAAACATGGAATCTAAAAGCAGCAAGAGAAAGACAGTTACCTACAAGGGAACTCTCATAAGACTGTCAGCTGATTTCTTAACAGAATCATTTGAGGCCATAAGGGACTGGCATGAAGTATTCAAAATGATGAAAAGCAAGGACATACAGCCAAGGCTACTCTACTCGGCAAGACTATCACTTAAAATTGAAAGAGAAATAGAGCTTCCAAGACAAGAAAATACTAAAGAAGTTTGTTACCACCAAACTAGTATTAAAAAAACATGTTAAAGGGAGGAGGAGGAGAAAAAACCTGGAACACAGTTTTAAAAACTAAAGTTTATAAAAAAATAAAAAATTTTAAAACCCAAGAACATAGTTATAAAAAAATAAAGTACCTATCAATAATCATGTTCAATGTAAATGCTTTCAATGCTCTAATCAAAAGACATAAGATAGCAGAATAGCTAAGAAAACAAGACCCATATATATATACTGTTTACAAGAGACCCACCTCAGAATAAGATACACACAGACTAAAAGTAAAGGGATGGAAAAAGATATTCCATGCAAATGGAAATTTTAAAAAAAAGCGGGGGGGGGGGGGCTGTGGTAGCAATACTTCTATCAGACAAATTAGACTTCAAAACAAAGGCCATAACAAGGGACAAAGAAGGATAATGCTAAAGGATCAATCCAACAAGAGGATATAATTCTAGTAAACATTTATGTACCCAACATGGGAACACCTAAATATATAAAATAAATCTGGATGGACATAAGGGGAGAGACTGACAGAAAATAGTCATAATGAGATTTTAACACACATTAGTATCGATGAATAGATAGATCTTCCAGACAGAAAACCAGCAAGGAAACAGTGACCCTAAATGACACACCAGATCAGATGGATTTAACTGATATCTTTAGGGCATTTCACCCCAAAGCAGCAGAATATACATACTTTTTAGTCACAGGGAACATTTTCTAGAATAAACCGTATGTTATGACACAAAACAAGTCTCAATAAATTTAAGATTGTGATCATATCAACCATCTTCTCTGACCATAATGGTATGAAACTAGAAGTCGATTACAAGAAAAAATGAAAAACACACAAAGACATGGAGACTAAATAACATGTTGCTCAACAATGAATGGGTTAACAATAAGATTAAGGAAGACGTCAAAACATACCTTGAAACAAATTAAAATGAGAATACAATAACCCAAAATCTGTCAGACACAGAGAAAGCAGTCCTGAAAGGGAACTTCATAGCACTACAGGCCTACGTCAAGAAACGAAAAGAATCTCAAATACACAATCTTTTTTTTTTTTTTTTAATCCTCACCAAAGGATTTTAGTGTGGGGAGGAAGGGGGGGGAGGGAGGGGGAGAGAGAGAGAGAAAGAGAAAGAGAGAGAGAAACATCAATGTGGGAGAGAAACATTGATTGGTTGCTTCTGTACATGCCCTGACCAGGGACTGAACCCTCAACGTAGGTACATGCCCTGACCCGGAATCAAACCTGCAACCTTTTGGTGTACAGGGCAATGCTCCAACAAACTGATTCTTTGAAAAGAAAATTCCCCTTAGAAACACAGACTTCTGGCTGAAGTTCTAAAGTATTGGACATAAAAAGAAAAAAAAAAAAGAAAACCATGGAATCAGGTCTATGCTAGAGAAATTAAAGAAAACTAAATATTCTCTCACAAATGTAAGTTGGTTTAATAGCTAAATGATGTTATCAAGTAAATATGTTAATAATGGCCTTTGACTCTTCAGAAACAGAAAAATTATACAGATTAAAGAATAAATTCTTTATTGGCCTATTACAGACTTGGTCACAGTAAAACTGCTTTCTAGAACTGCAGTAAGATGCGAGCTAGAAACACAGGCTTAAAACTTAAAAAGGTTACCCAGAAAAGTGGCACCATATGAAGACAGAGAAGGGAAAATCAGAATATTGCAGATATTTTAAGAATGCACTTAAATTGCCTGGAACACAATTTTTAAAAAATCTTTTAAAATCATTAATATGAGGAAGACTGAAATACCAAAGAGAAAAAAATAAACAAAAAGGGTAAGGGACATAATGGGCACTTTCACCTTACAATTGAGACATGTTTACTAAATTTTAAATAAAAACAGAAGGAGGCAAAAAATTTACTACACAAATTAGGTCTCAAAAGTTCTGTTATAAAATGTTTAACTAATCACTACCTGGCATCCTCTCCTTTGATGGGAGGGGGAATTTTAAAAAAGCAAATGGAAGGGGGAAGAGAGAAAAAGAGACCCTATATATTTTTAAATATTCTTTTGATTACAATACATGAATCCACTACAGAATAAAGACAAAACTATAGCGATTTTATTACCCTGACAAAATCATTCTTAACATTTTGTTATAGTTTCCCCTGAACTTCTTTCCTATGCATCTAGTTTTTAGGTATAAACGTACCAAATAGTGAACCTAGTGATTCACCTGTTTAATATTAGCAGTTTCAATGTAATCTTTATAATTACACATCACAAAATAAGAAACAGGTAGAGAAAGGTTCTAAATTTTTTTTTCTTTTACTGATTCTAGAGAAAGGGGGAGTGAAGGAGAAAGAGAGGGAGAGAAACATTAATGTGAGAGAGAAGGATTTATCGGCTGCCTCTTGTGTACCCCGACTGGGGACAGAACTCACAACCCAGGCATGTGCCCTGACCCAGAATTGAACCGGCAACCTTTTGGTTTGCAGGATGATACCCAACCAACTGAGACATACTGGCCATGGCAAAAAAGGTTCTATAAACACTACATTTTGAAGGAAAACACTTGTTTTTCATTGGAGGTTATTCAAGGTTCTTTCGGCTTTCATAGCAGTCATTTATTCAATATCATTTCATACAACTGAAATGCCTATTATTCATATTTATGTCAACTAAGCTCTTAATTATACACTCATGTTCCAATCATTTCATGACTTTTCTATCCATATAACGGCCAATCCTGATGGCAGAATAATGTATTGTGCAAGGTAACTGAGTATCATTGATATACAGAACACTTTACCATGGACCAAATATAGAGTCTAAAAATGAACAGGCCACCCAAAGTAACTCAAATTACTCACCAACTTAAACATCTAGTTCTATTTCTTTAATGCCAACGTTTGGTCATGGTCATAATTAACATCAAAGTTCCTGACTATATTTGCTCATCAACTTGTTTTTCTGACATTGCTTCAGTGTTTCTTGGCTATAAGAAAGTAACTTTAAATGCCCTAAATATATAAGAACAAAAGAAAAATAAATCCAAAATAACCATCTATTTATAACTCCATGGGACAATGCATCACTTAGAAGGTCCTCATAGTGAATGGAGTTAGTCTAGAGCGAACAGGCAAGTCTAAAGAGGGTCAAAGGAGTCTACTTCAGTATACGTGTAACTCTCCAGACAGACTTAACTTCCAAGATCCTCTCCAAATGACTAAACAGTGACATGGTCATCTCAGTGATATTTCAAGAAAGGGGCTTTTCTTATGTCCATGTAGATTCCCAATTTGTACCTTCAAGGAAAACATGTAACAGTCAGTGATTTCTGAGGTACACAAGTTGAGGACAACAGGTTTGCCAAGTCATCTACCTCTCAATGAAGTTACTAAAGAAAGAAAAAAGATGCCATGATGGAAGATATCACCTAAAACAACTCCTACTCCTTTGAAGCAATGATTCCTTTCTGTTGACATCTCTGCTCGCTCACTCACCATCTAGCTATGCATCATCCCCTTCAATACTCAGAAACTTCACGTAAATTTTTGTGAAACTGAAGCAATCAAACTATCTCAGCAAATATATTGAAATTTCTCTCCCATTTAAATAGTTTGACTTAGTCTGTGTCACTGAGGCCTAAAACAAAAACCCCAAACATATTCATCAAGGAAAAAATAAAAATCAACTCTAGATTATCTATACTAAGAAGAGAATAACAACCTTACTACAAAAGGCTTACTACAAAAATAATTTAGAAAGAATTTTTAAGTGTCTATTTTTGGTAGCAGATTCACTTTTCTAATGTTTTCACTTAAGTCAATATTCTCCAGCACACACCAGTTTTGGTAAGAGAAAGAAGGAGGCTGAGTGAATATGAAACACAAGGGGAACATAGACTAGAATAAAACACTGACTGCTCGTGATCTACATAAGAACTCACAGAAACATGTGGCTAAGCAAACAATGCTTACCACCTTTCATCTACCCACTTTTAGTTGTCAACTCCTAAATATTCCAAAATAATTTTTTTAAAAATCAGTATTTAAGTACCACTAACCACTTAAAATTCTGAATTTGAAAGGTGTAATCAACTCATTGGTTTAAAGCAGTGTTTAAGAAGGAATCATGGACTCAAATGAAAATCATGTGAAAGAATCAATAATCCACTTTACACACAACCTGGTTGGGGAGTAAGAGGTGATAATGGCCATAGAAATACATCCTTGAATCATCCCAGAACATTTAAAAACAAAGAAATACAGTGATATACAAATGTGACATATACAATGGTTAAACATCAAGCCAGTGGCAACCAAGAAAGGCTTGTTCTACCATATTGTTTTCAATCTGTATGAAGTACTTATTGTCCTTACCATATTGTCCCAAATTTTTCCAGAGCCTCTACAAGGTCTGCTTCCACCACAGATTCACAGAGTCCTCGAACATGGACAACAGGTGAAACAGAAACTTTATGATGACTTCCACCTGCCTCCTAGAAAGAGAAAATAATTTGTAATTAGAACTTTAAAATTCCAAATTGCATCTTTTAGTAAATTCAACTCTGCTGTTAAAAGCAAACAAACAAACAAAAAAAGTGCAATTCACAAGTTAGTAAATAGGACCTAAGAGTAAAATCAATAGTTATATGCTTGGCATGAAAATTTTGATTTCTTAAAAAGGAGCATTCTTAAGACTTCTGGTCAAGATGGGGGCGTAGTAAACGTGGATTGCCTCCTCACAAAACCACAGCAAATATTACAACTAGATTTCTGAACTAGAAAACAACTATCACCCAGAATCATCAGAAAATTACGCTACATGGAAATCCAACAACCAAAAAATTAAAGAAATCACCCTCATACACAAGAGTAGGAGGAGCAGAGATGCACAGGCATGGAACATGCAGTCCCATATTCATATGTGGTAGGTAAAAATCAAGAGGGATACCAGCCCCACACCAGACCACCCAGCCAGGAAGAGAAGTCCCCATAACTTCCGGCTTTGAAAACCAGTGGGGTTTGGGGCAGCGGAAGAAACTGTGGGATTCTCAGGTGTCCCCTCTTAAAGGGCTCACAATGGACTCAGAATTTACACAGACTTACTCCTCCTGTGCTCCACAACTGGGGCAGCAGCTGGAAGGACACAGTGGCACACAAGGAGAAACTCGTGTGTGGCCTCAGGGTAAGTGCTGGAGGACAGCTTCCTCCCAGACAAAATGGCAGAGGCCATCGTCCCCTTTCTGAGCCATTCTCCACAAAGAGCCACAGAGTGGTGACACCATATCTGAGAATCCATCAACCTGGGTCACACGGATTGCCCCATCCTGGTGATTACCTAAGGCTTTGCCTCATCCAACTTACCGATGCACTTTTCTAAAACAGGCCATACTACTAAGGGAGTAAAAGCAGCTCTACCTAATACATAGAAAGAAACACAGGGATGCTGCCAAAATGAGGTGACAAAGAAGTGTGGCCAAAATGAAGAAAAAAAACCCAGAAAAAAAGAACTAAACAAAATGGAGATAATCAATCTATCAGATGCAGAGTTCAAAACACTGGTTATTAGGATGTCTGAGGAACTCACTGGGCACTTCAACAGCATAAAAAAAGACCCAGGCAGAAACGAAGTTTACACTAAGTGAAGTAAAGAAAAATTTACAGGGAATCAACAGTGGGAGTGGGATGAAGCCAAGAATCAAATCAGTGATTTGGAACATTAGGAAGAAAAAAACATTCAATCAGAACTGCAAGAAGTAAAAAGAATTCAAAAAAACAAGGACAGGCTAAGAAACCTCTGTGACAACATCAAAAGTTACCAATATTCGAATCATAGGGGTACTGGAAGGAAAGGAGCAAGAAATAGAAAACATATTTGAAAAAATAATGAAAGAGAACCTCCCTAATTTGGTGAAGGAAATACACACATAAGCCCAGGAAACACAGAAAGTCTCAACAAGATGGACACAAAGAGGACCACACCAAGACACATCATAATTAAAATGCCAAAGGTTAAAAATAAAGAGAGAATCTTAAAAGCAGCAAGAGAAAAGCAGAGAGTTACCTACAAAGGAGTTCCCATAAGACTGTCAGCTGATTTCTCAAAAGAAATTTTGCAGCCGAGAAGGGACTGGCAAGAAGTGTTCAAAGTGATGAACAGCAAGGACCTACACCCTATATTACTCTATCCAGCAAAGGTATCATTTAGAAATGAAGGGCAAATAAAGTAATTCCCAGACAAGGAAAAGCTAAAGGAGTTCATTATCACCACACCATTATTATAAGGAATGTTAAAGGGACTTAAGATAAAGAAGATCAAAATTATGAACATTAAAATGGCAATAAACTCACAACTATCAACAACTGAATCTAAAAAACAAGCAGAACAGACTCAGAACCATAAATATGGAGATCATTTGGAGGGTCATGAACTAGGAGGGGAAAGGGGGAAAATGGAGGAAAAGGTGCAGCGATTAACAAGTACAAATTGGGCCCGGGCTGGTGTGGCTCAGTGGATTGAGTGCCAGCCTGCAAATGAAAGGGTTGCTGGTTCAATTCCCAATCAGGGCACATGCCCATGTTGTCGGTGGAGCCCCTGATTAGGGACATGCAGGTGGCAACCACACAATGATGTTTCTCCCCTGCTCTTTCTCTCTCCCTTTCCCTCTAAAAAATTAAATAAGTAAAATCTTAAAAAAAAAAAAAAAAAAGGAAGTACAAATTGGTACGTACAGAATAGACAGGAGATGTTAACAGTATAGGAAAATAGAGGAGCCAAAAAACTTACATGCATGACCCATGGACATGAACTAAGGGGGGAGACTGCTGGAGGGAACTGAGGGCACCAGGTGGAGAGGGGTCAGAGTGGGAAAAATCAGGACAACTGTAATAGCATCATCAATTAAATAGTGAGCAGGAGGGAGATTTCAGGGCTCAGGCTAATAGAATAACTGACTGAGAGGAAACCTGTATCAAAAATGTAATCTAACGAGACACTTTGTCAATCTAATTTTCTAAATTGTATAGTTTTATAACTTAATATACTAAGTTTTTCATAAAGGATTACAATCACTTCTTAAAATTGCTTTAGTGACTCCCCTCCCTAAAACTTTCTTCACCCTACGGAACTTCTCCTGCAGTCTTCACAGTGATAGGCTTCTCTCTTCAGGTGCTGGACATAGTTACGTAGGCACTTAATAACTTGAATGTGAAACCCCAAAGATGTGTGAGCTCTAAGAGCTGTAAAAGAGTGGGGCTGTTTTTCCGCTGCCTTAATAAAGAAATTGGCAAAAGGCTTATACCTTAATACACTTTAGATATGTATGTATGATCATTGTTTTATACAAAAATGCCCGGGGTAAAAATAAATGATGTTAATGTGTTAGGAGTCGAGCTCAAAATGTAGTTGTCCCACTGTCCTTGAAGTGATCGTGTCCATACTAAATATATGAAAAGGCAGTGCTTAATAAAAGCAAGCAGAGCAAAAAAAAATAAATACAAATAAATAAATAAAAAGGTGCGTTCTTTCTCAGAGGTGAAAGTAAGTTATTTAATAACCTATTTCAACTTCAAGAAAATCTTATAAACAACATTAGCAGGTAACACAAAGCATGCTAAGATCAGAAATACATTTTATACTCATAATCTCATAATTTAACCCCCATAAAATCAAAATCTCAAGTAGTCCAAATGAACAAAAAGTCCTAGTTTAAAATTTTTCTTTAAAATAAAGATTATATACTTTATTTTTTCTGTAATATAGTAGATTTATATCACCTTTTATCCTGTTTAATTGGTTACCTCACCCCACCATAATTTGAAGTCACTCAGCAGTACACTTGACAACTTAAATTTATACAAGGGGCTATGTAGGAGAATTACTTTGAAAATTAAAATAGCTCTTTCATTTACTTATCAAGTTCTATTAAGACAAAGATTTGTATTCACAGCTAGCTGCTGGGTACCTCTCTTGCATCACTTCAGAAATAACTTCATATACACATATAGATAGATAAGATAGATATAGATATGTATCCCAAAAAATATATTAAATGGAAGTTTTTTTCAGGGGTCCTACAGACTAATCTAAAAGCACCATTAAAACTTAAGAATCATTTTAAGAAAATTAAACCCCTTTGTAGCTATTCGAAAAAACTCACCAATTTTTTTCATTATAAAGACTGTTAGAAAAATATAATAAACATAATGCTCTGCCAATAAAAAATTATGCCAGAATTTAAAGAACTGATTTGAATATATAAAGTAACCACGGGACTATGCTCATGTCAGAGCCAACAAATAATTCCAGTGCTCTGCAAATACTACTTTAATCCTTGGAGTTTCATTTGAATTGCTTAGGTTTAGTTTCTTCTATGTTTACATGTCACTGAATTTCAAACAAATCATTCTGATTGTTCCATATGTAACCAGGTTTCTCTTAGCAACCTTAACAAATAAGACCCTGCCTCCATGAAGTCAACAACCAAATGTGTATTATCACCACTAAGCTCTTAAATATAACCAGACAACAATAATGCAGGAAGAGGGCTAAGCAACACCTTAAAACCTACATATAAACAAACATTTAAAGTATAAATAACAAGTTTTACTCTAAGACAATACTAAGCTGCAAAAAATAAGACAGTCATCTCCACTGATCCTTAGAAATTAGCTGGTAAAGGTAAAAGTGCAAGAGAAAGCTATACTGGCCTTGACTCTTCAGAAAGTTAATATCAAAAAACAGTGAAAGATTTCAGATTGAGACTAAAGATAGACAGCAACCAAATGCAATATGTGAGCCTTCATTTTACAATAAATAGAAACTGCTATAAAAGACATCTTAGGGGCAAACTGGAGAATTTAAGTAGGCAGGATATTAGATTATATAATGGAATTATTGTCTTGGATGTCATAATAGTAATGGTATAGGTAAGGATATCTCTAATTCCTAGGAATAGCTGGGATATTTAAGGATAATTGTGATGTCTGTAAGTTACTTTCAAACACTTTAGGGGAAAAAATGTATGTATATAAACAGATATAGACAGAGATAAAAATCCCAAATAACGAAATGTCAAAGATAGAATATGTAATTGAACATGTTACATAATAAAAAATGGGAGAAATGTTTTATTATATAATAATAAAGACCTACAAAGCAGAATGAAGAACATTATAACTTACCACCCAGTCTAAGAAATGAAACTACCAATCAGTTGAACACATCTCCTCTTCCTACCTCCCTTCCCATCATGGATAACCACTATCTTGTACATAGTTCTAAAGAATGATTTTTATTCAAATTGGTCTTCTCACAAAAAAAATCGATTACAGGGCCAATTCTATTATTTAGTTATATTTACAAATGAAAGACATCGAGACTCAAGTCATTCTGTAAAAGCTGGAAAATATTAAATACTATGAATATGGTATTTAGGAGAAGATGGATTATCTCAACCTCAAGTGAGAAAACAACATATTCTATGCCCCTTGTATC